TTTCAGTTTACAGACATTTTACAGTGGTGTTTTCATTTCTTCCGCAGAGACTCGCGGTTTGAAAGATCCAGAGCAAGTGGAGAACCTGCAGGATCAGTCTCAGGTCATGTTGGGTCAGCACATCCGCTCACATTACCCGAGTCAACCAGCCAGGTAAGAAACATCACCACATCAGTGCAAGGAAGAAAAACGCACCTCTAAAAACACCGTTAATGAATTTACACCAGTAAATCTGGACTTATCTGTGTTCTTACAATTTGTGACTGAAAAACTTACTAGACCTACTTTTTATTTAAATTTGTAATAGAATGTGGCCAGAACAGCTTTTTTTTTTTAACCAATCTCAAAGAGGAGCCACATCTTTGTTCGGTTAGGAGTCCATTTCTTCCTATAATTGTGGATTTTTTTCTTCTAAATTGAGTTCCTCTCCTGTATGAATGTTTTTTTGAAAATCTTCGAATTGATTCTAAATAATTAAGGACACAATTGTTTACCGAAGATGCTTTAAAATCTATGCAAAATGCAAAATGAGGTGTAGTTACTGTTACGGCCAGCAGGGGGCAACAATGACATGTTCATTTTCTGTGTCAACTTCAACGAACTCATTCATATATGCCCCTTTTAAAAATGATTTTACTCCCATCGTAGCTCATTATTGTTGCTGCAGACCGATAATTAGCTTTACATGACAAATCAACTTCTTGTTTTGTGTAACTTGATCGTCTTCACTGGGAAGTTATTCAAACAAAAATGACAAAGCTGCTGCACACAGTCGTATTTTTTTTAACACTCTGATGAAGTTTTATCCTTCATAGTTCCTTTGTACACACAGATGCTGATTTAATCTTGATTTCTTTGTCTGCGTCCAGGTTTGGAAAGCTGCTCCTCCTCCTGCCGTCGCTGCGTTTCGTGAACTCGGAGCGAATAGAGCTGCTGTTCTTCCACAGGACCATCGGAAACACTCCCATGGAGAAGCTGCTGTGTGACATGTTCAAAAACTAAAAGCGCTGCGGTCGCCTGACGCGTACTTGCTTTGTATTACTGTATACATATCAGAGATTCTGCGTGCTGTTATTTTTGTAAAGGCCACTTTATTATTGTTTGTTTGTTGTTTCCACATCTGTTCATTCTGAGAGAGAGAGACAAAAAAAATGCAGTTCAGATCTCGTCATCATGCTTGCTGTCTAATTGTGTCATATTTAGACTTTGATTTGTGTCTAAAATGACTCTCGACTAGTTTTTCTTTATTTTTGTGTTGTTTTTTTTCTCCTAAAAAAAACCGACATGGCAGATCTTTATTTGTTTGGTGATAGATTGACTGTATAACTGTTGTATTCATGTTGTCATGCCTTGATGAAGTAAAAAAAAAAATGCTCTGACAGCTTTTGTGTGGAATATTTCATTACGTAGAGATAAACGGGGGGTTTGGAGAGACGTGGAGCCTCGGTTCTGCTCAGAATCCACCACACAGCGCCCTCTTCTGTCTGGTTCACCACAAAATAAAAGCCCACGTGCATCCTGAACATGACCTCTTTAGCATTAAATGTAGCTGCAAGTTGAGTCCCTTCAATCTAAGTTTCCTTCTTTGCTTCGTTAGAAACAGGCACAGTTTGGATAGATTCCAATTGTGTGGAGTCAGGAGCCTGTTGAAGACATTTCTGGGACGAGCTGGAGTTCAGGTAATAAACTCGATGCTGTGCTGACATCTTGTTAAGAGACGATGATGCTTACAGAGGAGGATGAGGAGGGTCAGATGAGACACTGCTCTCATGTTGTGGCTCTTTGTTTTCTTCCCAGCAGTGCACATTGGTTACTCTTCAACTTTACAGACATGATTTCAAGAGTGCCTGAACTGAACTAAAATATCATCCATCCATCCATCCATCCATCCATCCATCCATTATCTATCCACCGCTTGATCCTCACTAGGGTTGTGAGGGGCTGGAATCTATCCCAGCTGACTCAGGGTGAAGGTCAGCAGTCTATCACAGGAACTAAAATATCAGTTTAATGGTAAAATAAAACTGGTTTGCAAAGATCGAACGCAACAATCAGTCCCTTCTAATAACCACATATGTAGGAACGAAGCTTATGAGAAGACAAAATGCAATCAGTCCCAAAAACAAAATTAGAAAACATGAAAAATGCATTAATGAATTTAATCAGATTAATCTGAGGAGTCACTGAAGTTCCTGCAGTCAACTTGTGATGCCTTTTTATTAACAGTCTTTAAAGAATAAGTAAATCTTTGAGGGTTCAGTGTGTTTTTCTTTCTATTGTTCTGGGTTTTCTCTTCTAAAATAAGTGTCTGTATTAATCTTTTTTTGTTGCAGGATCTTGTGCTTTGATTTTAAATGATTAATGCAAAAATTGCTTCCTATAGATCAGGGGTGTCCAATCCTGGTCCTCGAGGGCCGCAATCCTGCAAGTATTAGATGTTTCCCTCTTCAAACACACCTGATTCAAATGATCAGGGTCGTTATCAGGCTTCTGCAGAGCTTGATGATGAGCTGATCATTTGAATCAGGTGTGCTGGACGAGGGAAACATCTAAAACATGCAGCATTGCGGCCCTCGAGGACCAGAGTTCGACACCCCTGCTATAGATGCTTTAAAACTGATGCAAAATACAATATCTATCAAATTTATGAGATTTAATTTAAAAAAAAAAAATAAACAGTCTGCCATGAAATTATCCCTTTTTTTTGTATATTCTTCACTGCAAATTTTAGGACAACAACAAAAAGACCTCCAACAACATTTGGATTCCTTGCAGCACTAAACAGGAGCTTTTTGAAGTTTTTAAAGCTGAACTTTTCAGTTTCTGCTGATGAACCTCAGATAAAAGCAATCTCCTCTCCTCTAAACCTTCTCCTTTGTTTATTGTAAATTAATTTGACAACACTCACATTTAAGTTGTTCATTCTGAGGAGAAGCTATCCGAAGCAACTTCCCACCTATCTGCACACTTACACCTGTACAGTTAATTTATTAAATTAAAACGCTTTTCACTTTGAAATAAGATGCAAAATCCGTCATTTGTGGTTGAATCGAGAGCTGCTGCACCTCAACCAAATGCCAGCCCGATAAGAGACGTCACTCAGCTTCACTTCACCGTTTGATTCAAAGCATCAGAGAGACTCAACAGAGGAGCAGAACTCCGGCTGCATTTAACGGACACATCAAACACACTTCTCACTGTCGCCATGCAGTGCTGCAACTCCAAAAAGATGATTAAACGAGGGAGAAAAGGAAGTTAACAGCTTTGATTTTAGTCAGGTTATTTGTTATTCGAAGACTAAACTTGAGCTCTAATTCTGGAGCAGACAGGAATAGCATCCGGCACATCAGCGGTGGACTTTTTATGCTGAAACTGAGCGCTGTGGGTCTCATGTTCGGCCTCCGGACGTCAGAAATCCTGGGATCAGATCGGCCGGCCCTCTGTCATATGAGGGAGCTCGGATTATGAAACTTTGAACTCCCACTGGGGATTCATCTGCAGCAAAGTGTGCTGCTTTTAAACTCCACAGAGGCTGAGGACAGAAATTTAAACATCATTTGTAAACTTTGCATCTCCTCTGATCAGCAGCTCTGGATGCTCTTCATTCAGTCTCTTCACGTCTTGTTTCTACATTATGAAAGTGATGCTGAAGCGAGGCTTTACCTCACGTGTCGACATTCTCATTTTGACCTTCGCTAAGCTCGTTTCACACAAAGGTAGCCCCTGTTCAAATGAGAGATTTTCATCTTATTATGAGATTAGTCTCTTGAGTAACAGGCAGAGGGAGGCAAACAGGTTAGCGCCACGTTGCAGCGCAAAAAATGACATTATTCAACCTCACAGTGGTGCCGGGGTACAGAAACCACAAGACTTCACAGAGTGTTAGACATTAAAACTGTCCCTGCACGAAGCAAATCAAGAACATGAGGTTTTTACTTTTGGTTTTGGAGCGAAAGCTTCCATCTTCATCAGTAAGATTTAAAAAACTGAGGCACATATAAAGGAAGTTAGTAGGATGGCCTTCTTTCATCTACGTTATATTGTAAAAATCAGGAATATGTTGTCTCAGAGTGATGCTGAGAAACTAGTCCATGCATTTATAACGTCTAGACTGGACTATTGTAACTATCAGGATGTCCCCGGGGGTTTGGTTCCTTCCCACCGTTGTTGACCGTTTGCTCAGAGGGAGTCCAAAGGCATCTTTGGATTGTTGGTTCCCTGTTTAAGTTTTTAAGTTCTGTATCTTTCTATGATAAGCGCTGTGAGATGGCACATGTTGTAAACTGCCATATATAAATAGAATTTAATTAAATTTCCAGCTCAAGGCTCTCTCTGTTTCTCTGTTTCTCTGTTTCCATCCCCCAGTTTTTCTCTCGGCACCGTCTCTGTGACATAAAAGATTATAACAACTGAACCAACGTCCTACTTGAAGGTTTTTCCAGGAACATCCAGCTGAAGACCCAGAACTCATTGGAGCGGTTCTGTATCTCATCTGGCCTGGGAACAGTTTAGGATCCATCTGGAAGAACTGGAGGAAGAAAACGCTCCTGACTTCCTGATTAAGAAGCACTAGATTCAGTTTAACCACCCAAAGACTGTAACAGTGCAAAACCATAAGAATCACAACAACCATAACTTCAACACCTGCTTTTTTAAAAAATTTTTTAACCGTCACTCGACATTTTTAACTGCACGGTCTTCACCAACATTTTGCTCTAATAAATGACATTTGAATATCCTGAATAAGTATTCAGACAGTTCTTTCCTCTCCCCCGTGCTGCTGAACCTGCCCTCCTCCCTCCCCTCGGTGCAGCCCTTAATCTGCAGCTCTTAGTCGAGCTGGAATGTTTTCGAGGTGTTTGGGCCAAACTGTCCGACACGCTGCAGCACCGGCAGACGGCTGGTCGAAGCTCCCCGACCGACCGCAGGAGGCTCTGGAGGAGGCCTCTGGATCTGGATCAGTCCTGCTCTCACCTGTTTGAACAGACCGAACCGCTGCGATGAATCAAAGCAAGGTTGAGTTTGAGCCTTTTGAATATTCCTACTACGATTACTCCGACTGGTACAACGCAGAGCCCACAACACCGCCCAAAGAGTGAGTATAAAGACACTGAAGGTGTCAGATGGGGTCAGGGTGGAAATTTTCAAGTTTTTAAAGGACTGATTCTTTGCAGAAGTAGGTTCTTGGCAGAAAAGTGCAGATTTTTGGTGATTTGTCCAGTTATTTTTGTTTAATTTGCACCATTTAGGCGTAAAAATTAAAATTATCAAAATTAGGATTCATTCAAGAAAGAATTTGTCATAAAGCTTCATAAAAAAATCATAAAATGTCTGTCTTCCACACACATTTGCAGGCATGTGGTTCTATTTTGGTAATATACTTTCCTTTTCCCCGCAGAGTTATTTTACCATGCGACCCTACAGCAGACGACAAACTCTTCCACATATGCATCCTGTCGATATCTGTAAGTATATTTGCTTCAGTGTGATTTCTATTCATTGTGTATGAAATGTAAGAGATGTTAGTTAGTTATGGCCCGAAAGTGTGACTTTTTTCAATTAAAAAAAAGCAAAAAATTGGAGAAAAGTCTGAAAACAAAAATGTAGTTTGGTGTTGGGACAGTAAATGTAGTATTTAGTCATCACTAGTTGATGTGGGAACTTAGCAACTACAAGCTAGTTTTATTATTATTATTAATAATAATAATAATAATAATAATAATAATAATAATAATAATAATAATAATAATGCCAATACACTTTTATTTCTACAGCACCTTTAAACACTGGAGTTGAACGGTGCTTTACTGAACATTCATGGATACAAAGTCATAGAAAACAACAATAAAACATTAAAAGAAGGCCATGAAACACAAGGAAAGACAGAAATGATTAACATGTGAAGGAGATCTTGGGGCTAAAACAGTAAAAGCTTATTAAAGCGGGCTGCAGCACTAAAACTAAAGGAATGTCCGAGACAGTTGCATCACAGCTGTTGCTCCTCCCACCGCTGCAGCCATCTTGCTCAGGTCGGCTATTTCAGAACATCAGGTTTCTAGTTAATGAAGAGACAGAGAGAAATAACGGAAATGTCAGCGTCCATCTTGACATAAAAACTGCTTATAAAAAAAGACACTTTGACTTTCTCTCTTTTTTCTATTGTTTTTTTTCTTAAATATTTGTCCTTTTTATAGTGTCTTATTGCCATTGCACAGCCTTGAGAAACCTTGTGTTTCACTGCATGTACTACGTGACACATAGAAACCCTTGATTTTGATCTAAAGTTCGGTGCATTTGCAACAAAATCAGGTTAAAGCCAAACTCCTGCTACTCGTGTGCAGAGTTTTACCGTCAGTGCAGCATGATTGGCTGGATGCTTCCTGGTTTGGCGGTGATAAAGCAGACAACGGGCTTTTTGCTGATTTATAAACTTTGAAATCAAGTTCCCTTCCTGTGCAAATCGGATTTGGGGTTGTTTTGTTTTCTCTGCACCCGATTCAGCATCGTGTTGCTACTCAGCCCAGTTTGTTGGGAAATCAAAAGTGTTACATCATTTTTAGGCACCATGTCATAGGACCAGATTGGATGTCGTCACTTGAGGGAGGAATTTAGGGCAGATATGAAGAAGATGCTACAAATTTCTGTTTTCAATGATCTGACAGCTTCGACCACAACTTTAACTCCACCGGTACAAAAACAAAGAAAAACTCCACTTCTATGAGAACTTAGGAAACAGAACGATGGAGGTTTGTTCTGTTGGCCTGTACGGTGAATTTTACACATCTGTAGATTCTCAGGCGTCCAGCTTCAGTAAAAAGAAACTGGACTAGTTTTTTTTTTAAGTTCTTGAAGACATTTAAGTTTACTCAGAGGCCTCTTGGATTAAAGTGAAATGTCTTGAAGAGAAATCCAGTTGCGTTTTATCATCGAAGCTCCAGGAATTAAGCTGTAGATGTTAAAGAGGAGATGACTGCTTCAGTCATTTTCATTTATTTGCATCAAGACCCCAGCAGCAGATTTTCAGGCCACGTTAGATCTAATTACCCTGCAGTCGGCACGTTTTTCTGCCCGGAAAGATTTTCTAAAAGTTCTTAAGGGTTGCTGCAATAGAAAGCATCTTCTTATGTAACAGTCTTATTGGCAGATTGTATGTGTTTATAATTAGTAACAGCTAATTTCTAACATGTAAACCTCTAAACACTTACACTAAAACAACTACTTTGAATATGAACAGCAAGAGCAGATTCAGTCTTTTCCCTACGGCCCTTCTAAACAGTTATAAGTGGAAAACAGTGAATTTTGTTCAGAAGTCGTCTTCTGTCAAATCCCTCGCTGCTTTTTTTCTGCCTTTGCTTCAAACAGATTCTCACTTTAATGATGTTTGCTCTCATTTTGCCTTCACCCAACTACAAGAGAAGTCCACTTAAACTCAGACAGATGCTCATGCTGTACACCGAATGAACGTGGCCCACTTTCTTTGTTCAGTTAATAATGTGAAATAAGCTGCGGCAGCTTATTTGGCTGCAGCTCATCAGACGTAACAAGATGCATTTTCCTCAGAACGAGGTTCTTCTGACAAACATTGAGTCTTCGTATCTACAATGCTGCATTATTTCATAAAGACTGTCTGAGCTGCTGTAGCTGGAAAACTGTCAGTAGCTTAAATAATCAGGATTATGTCAGTTGTGTAATTGTTATAATTGATAAAATGTGTTATTTTACATATATTTGCTTTATTACATCAATAGTTTTTCAAGATTTTGGTGCAACAACCAACAGCTTTCAAACAAACACAGAGTTTGCACAAAACTTAAGTGATGAAATGTGTCTGAATAAGGTTCTACTTTGGCAAAATAAAACATTCAAACTCAAAGTCCAGTTACAGAGCTTTAAACCATTTTTGTTATTAAATGTGCAAAAGTCTGAATCTGCTTTTCCAGCCTTTCTGGAGGAAACTGGGACTAAATTAATGCTTAAATCCATTTTATTCTAATACGTATCATGTAAAAACTGTATAATACGAATACATTAATAACTCAGATGTAGAAAAGCTTTAATATTTGAGGCCTAACAGAAGTCCTGATGATTTTTTTTCCGTCCTTGCAGCTGGTGATCATGCTGATCCTGGCAGTTCTCACCAGGAAAAACAAGCTCTGTCAGGGATTCACTAGAGGATCCTCCAGCATCTTCAGGTGAATGTCTTCGTCTTTCACTTTATAGATACATGCAGTTTTGTTGTTTTCCACATCCAAGGGAATCTGTGCAGTGTCTGAATGTCCACATGTGGAAGAATCTGTACGACAGCAACAGTTCTGACTGATGTTTCCTACATAAAACACTGCAAATGTCCCCACTGTCGGATGAATAAAGGCTCATCTCATCCTATTTGGAAAGGCTGAAGATTTTTAGTCTCAGATGATCTGAATGTTCCTGTGTGATCCTTCAGTCCTGCAAACTTTCTGGACCAGACTCAGAAAAAAGGGCTCGTCATGGCTGTGTTTGGACTCGTGTTCAGCAAGCTGGCGATGCTGGTGATCAGTCCGGACCCTCTGCCGTTCTGCAAAGACACTCCGGCAGAGATTAAAGGTGGATATCTGCACATTTGTTTATCCTCAATGTATCCTCAATATATATGTGTCTTGAATTTTATCTGTAGTCATTATGGTTATTTTAAATTCTGACACAATCCATTAATGATGTGCCTTAAAATCTAAATTCAATCACTCACAGCACAAAGTGAAGCCACAAGTGTTTAGTTTGAACATATTAACATCGTTTTTGCCCCCAGTGGTCATAAAAACACCAACTATAAACACTAGAAAATCAGAGCAGCTTTTATTGAAGTTTCATTACATTTAAGAAGAATCACCTTTAAGCTTGTAAATAGAACAAACCGAGGAGTTTTAAGGCACCTTGAGTTAATTTAAAGAAAAAAAAAAAGCTTTGTGGAGCAGCTTTCTGTTTTGTCATAATTGCATATTCGAGGTTAAAAGCCAGATATTCTTTCTTTTTTTAAAAATCTCTCGTTTGCCAGAGTACATGAAGATCATCTCCATCTTCTACTACCCGGTGCTGTATTTCCCTCTGTTGGTTTGCGGCACTCTGCAGCACAAAGCAGGTTACGTGTTTGGGACGATTCTCTCCTTCAGTCACTTCGGGGTTCTTCTTTGGCAGAAGTTCGACTGTCCAAAGACTCCAGAGGTGAGACGCCGGTGATATGTTGATGTTCAGAGGGGATAATATCAATAAAATCTAACTCTTTTTTATCAAAATATTAAGATATTAGGTGATACAACCCTCAGAAACACCTATTTTCACCTATTCTAACACCTGAAATCTTCACATTTATGTAAAAATCACATAAAATTCTGGTGTTGCCACAAAGCAGCTCCGTCTGAAGGTCGGTAAAATGACATCGTCTGATGGTTTCTGTCTCCCACCCATGTTCCTCATCTGGTTCTACATCAGAGAATTTGAAAATGTTTGATGTTGTGCCGTCTGATGGTTGATTTTTAAGCTGTAATACCAGATTTTTAAAACAACTTGGGGTAAGTAGAGCAGACAGAGTTTTGTTTTCTTTCCCACCATCGCCCAGTGCTGCTCAAATGGACTCCAAAAGAACTCTTTGGAGTTGTTGGGTTCCCGGTATGAGGTCTTCACCGTACCATGTAAAGTGCCTTGAGATGACATATGCTGTGAATTATTATATTTATGGAATTTAATTCACTCTTTGTTGTTTCGTCCTGTACGGTTTGTTTATTGGCATTTTTTTTAGCTTTTTTTTTTGTGCCTGAAACTGCTTCCTGCCTCCCAACCAAAAGCTTTATGTAATTAATCCAAACCAAGACGGAGAAAAAAGTCTGGTGAAGTCGAGTCTCACAAAAAAATATTGTGAAAATGTATTCCTTCCAAACAACGCTGTAACATATCCTTGGGATGGGATCACTTAGTGTTTAGTGTTTGCGTGAGTGCACTTTAACCCAAAGCACCATCTCTTCCTAAAGCTGATGTAGTTTTACAGTGTAAATAAGCACAAACAGGGACTTCAAATGACAAAACAGTGACTGAAAGTGAAAGCAAACAGTGAGTAAATATGTCAAAAAAGAGATGGGCTCCTGCAGAGCTCAAACTCTGTTGGTCCTGGATTCAAGAAATTAGGATTTTTTTGTGCAAAATGCAAGAAATTGAAAAGTCATGTGACGTGAAACACAAACGTCTCATAATTATTCTGCCTTCATACACATGTTGTTGTCAGACTGCATTGTGTGGTGATAAATCTCTGGTTTTGTGACGATTATTAGCCCCAGTTACATCACAGGTAATAATTTAATCTACTATTGATTACTGCAGCTTTAATGTTTGGTCGAAAATACTGAAAATGTTGCCTCTCAGGAACCATTTTTTTTCTTTTATGTTTTATTGCCAAACAACACAATTCCATAAAACCACAAACAAAGGGCAAATAAAACTGAACATTTTAAGATATTCATTTTTTTAATCTTCTATCCTCACAGATCTATAAGTTCTACGCCCTGCTGGCCAGTCTGCCTCAGCTGTGCTGCCTGGCTTATCTCTGTGTGCAGTTTCCTTTGCTGTTCGTCAAAGGACCAAAGACTGACGAGGTGAGAAATAAAACACCAACACAGACATTAACACGCTGAAAAACTATAAATATATCACTTGTCATGTTTTTCATGGAGTTTAAACGGATCTCAGTCCGTCTGTGCTGCAGCTGAACAAAGAGAAGGTGAACTACGTAAAACAGAGGCGTGATTAACAGTAAGCAGCTTGTGCAGAGCAGAAAGGCTTTCACTGAGCAGATTATGACGAGAGAGGTGATATTTGTTTTTAGCCTTTTCTAACGTATTAATGCAACAGAGACTTTTGTTTCAGCAGCAGGTTTAATCTGTCTACGTGTTTTCTTAAATAAACAAACAGGAGAAACAGCATTAATTCACTCACTAGTCTTTTCGACTTCTTCTTGTTTAAAAGTCATAGTTTGTGCTCCTCCACTGAGAGTTACAGTTGTTTTCAGGAATGTGTGGTGTTAAGACTCCAGAATGAACAGAATAACAGAATAAAGGTGTAATCAGCATTAACTTTAAGTTCATTTTAACTGTATTTATCTGTAAATCTCAACATTTTCCTCTTTGAAAATGTACCAACAATGCAGTGAATTGCAGACATGTACCATAAATAACAGCGTGTCTTCATATTTATGATCCAGAATTGAGATTTGCCAACATTTAAAAATGCATAAAGAACACCTAAACAATAAAAGAACAGAAGGCACGTTACATCTTTATGGGTCAGGAGTGTCTGACAAACTGGAGTCTATTAAAAATATTGAGCAAACCAAGAAAAAATTATTTAACTCAGTGGAAAAAAGCAAGAAATCACTGAACTGTGGTGTGAAAGTGTTTCATTCAATTCACATATTGAATTTAATTCAACAGTAATTCTTGTTTTGGGCTCTAAAAAGCATCACATTTACAGCATTTAACTGTATTTTTTTTGGCATTGTTAGGATTTGGCTGCATTTTTACAGTAATTTATTGCAAGTTGAAACGATGCCGTTATTATAGAAATTAAAACTCACATATTTAAATATTTTTTTCTGTCAGGACCTGGACAGCAGCTACTACACCAACTATGTGAAGGCGCTTCTCAAGAAAAAGTCCTCGGCCTCCAGGTGGGTGGAGATAAAACTCATATTTATGTTACTGGAGTCAGTCAAAGGTCCTCATGAGCAGCCTGATGGTTCATATGATGTGTTCATTGGTTAAATAAGGAGAAACATTTATGATTGTTGTCCATCAGCAGATAATGTGTTCAAATGTGATGTTTATTTTTATTATTAGTCACATACAAAATGTCCTTTCTGACAAAGTTGATATTTGTGTAGACTGAGGTGTACATTTCAGGTTTTATTGTACATAATATATATATTTTATGTCTCTGCACCAGTGAAAGCTGTGGTCAGGTTGTCTGTCCACATGTTCCAGTTCTTGTGAGGATGACATGTCTTGATTTGGCACAAATGTTTACTGGAGCTAAAGGATGAACTGATTAGATTTTGGAGGTCGAAGGTCATCGTGTCCTTCACGTCCATCCCAGTCTTGTGAACGCAATAAATCACCTTAAATGAATTTCTGACAATTTGACATAAACATAGTGTTGGCGTTGTGAACTGAGTGCTGTAAATTGAGCCGCTGCTTTTTCACATGCTTTAAATACTGCAGCTTAGACCATGCTGCGGCTAATTTATGGATTTTTGCGATTTTTATGAATTTGCCTCGAGACGAAAGTGACATTGAGGGGGACAACAAAAGAGAGACTGAGGAAGTGTGTGGGTGTGGCTTATATTCAGGTGCGCTCAATAGTCCAGAATGTACGGTGGACTTTGTTCATAAAATGTGTCTTTGGCCTTAAATCAAGAATCAATACGATAATTATGACATTTTTTTTTCACACAAATGTCAAACAAAGCTCAGTATTGAAGTGAAAGGTCAAAGGTCAGCTTCACTGTGAGTTTATAATGTTCTGCAAAAACACTTTTTCTGGCAGTCATTCAACACCATCACTCAGAAACAGAAGGAGAGATCATCACCATCGTTCACATTTGGCCAGATACCTAATTTGGGACACAACTATTAAATTATTCCTTTACTACATGGACGTAAACTGCGTCTTCATTGGTTTTGCTGAGGCGTACCAGTGCAAGGTGGCGGTGATTAGGAAGCCATTTCTTGGGTGGTTTCTCTGTTTCTATCTTGAAAAGTGATTCTCTGTTGTTCTAAATTAAAAATATTCATATTGTACGTGACTAACATGATCTGCTTTCTGTTTACATCGCGTAGTTCTTCAGCTACAGACAAACCGACGCTGCTACAGAGAATACTGGAGGTGCCCAAGAGTTATATCTACGTACCTGAGAAAGGTGAGCGTCCTCACACAAATGTAGTTTTTACAAAATGTATATCACTTGAGCTCATGTTTTTAAGGTTCAAGCTTTGACGTGATGCAGTAAAAATGATTTTTTGGTCTTTCAGTGTTCCGTTTTCCTCTGAAGCTGGCCGTGTCTCTGTTTGTCACCTGTGTGGCCATTTATCATGTAAGTTCTCACCTTTTAAATCACTCATAATCAGAGCTGCTCAGGATGAAGACATGGTGTTTGTCCTCCTCAGACGGCCCTGCTGCTGGTCGTCCTGGTGGTTCCTACTCTCCACATAGTCCGAGCCGGTATCGATGAGAACATCGCCTTCCTCCTGTTGGGCTTTGGAATCGTCCTATCAGACGACAGGATGGAGGTGGTCAGGATCGTCACGTTCTACACGTGGCTGCTGGAAGGTTTGAGCAAAGTCACCGTTTTTTTTCTCTGCAAATTAACCAAATATGAACCAGAAACTCATTTTGTTTTCCTTCGTGTCATCAGTGTGCTACCTCTGTGCGATGACGCTGTCCTGTCTGGTCAGCCTGATTATGCTCACGAGGTCCATGGTCCTCCACAGGTACGAGTCTCTGCTCGCACAAAAACGCATTTTCTTTATAAAACATTTGGATTTGAGAGCTTAGTTTTAATTAAAAGCTCAATATTGCTCCTATAATTTCCTATTCTATTGTTTTTTTGTATATAATTTTAAATATTTTAACTTTTTATTTCTTGCATATCAGACTAAATAATACAAACATTATTTACAAGCCTCAGAAGACAGAGATTTTTACCTTCAAGTTTTAAGACTTTAATGTCTCGTGTCAGTTTCATGTCCAGTCCGAGTGCTGAAATTACAAGAACAATGCCGGTAGTCTGAAATTCATGCAGCTGCGTTGGTTTATTATCTTTAGACTTTTTGACAAAGGATCTTCTAAAATTGAGTTTAGGCTTCAACAGTTAAGGATCGAGAGTTTCACAGGCAGCTGTTACTGACTTTTAGATCGTTAGCTTTACTTTCAGTGTCTTAAACCAAAAAAAAGACTGTTGGTGACCTTCACAATAATTTATTCTTGTGTGTGTGAAACTGTTGTGACTTTGAGAAAAACGCTGCTGGTTGTTGCATGATTTTAATATATTGTAATATATTTTAATACATTCTCTCTCTAGAGAAAAAGAACAAATGACAGTTTATTTATAATATTAACACATAAATTCATGACAAGCGGATCCACTTCTACGTCACTTGTTTTAATTGATTTCAGATCCAACCTGAAGGGACTGTACAAGGGAGACATTTACAACGTCTGTAACAGCCAGAAGACGGTCCGTCCGTCCAGAGCCGGAGTGGTCTGCTGGATGGGCCTGACGGGGTACCAGGCCGCTGTCGTCTGCCTCGGTAATAAACCGCAAAACCATCACTGAATTTAGCTTCATTCAACTGTAAAGCTGGCTGCTGCATTTTTTTTATAAAAGACTGAAAACCAGCTTTAAATCATTATTAATGACAGAAATCATCTATCAAAGCCTGAAGTGTTGGATTCTTATATTGTCACAAACACTCTGCGGTTTATGACAGAGAGCTACTGTGTATTAATGCACTGCTGGAAATGCACTGTTTGAGTAATGAAACTGAAATTAAACTGGATTTGTGAGTCATTTTGAAAGATTTACAGCCAGAGAGCCAATAACAGATTAAAATGGTCTGAAAAGAGACAGAATAACGTGTTGGTTTTGGTCTTTTTATTCATTTAATTAATAAAAATCATGGCACCTCTTCTTTAAACTACAGCGCACTGAATATATAGAAAGGTAAATAAGTTTAAAGCATTTAGATGTTTGACCACATGTTCTTATGCATGAACATAACATGCAATGTCTTTATTTCCATTTTTTGTTTAAGGATTTTTTCTATTTTTACATAATGTTTCGTATCACATCTTATTGTTTTTGCAGACTCTTGTTACTTTACATTTCACTGCTATACTTTTGAGCATGTGACACATTTTAAACAAAGCAAAAAACTGGAATTAATTCTTTTTGTCACATCAAAAGTCATTTTGAATTTTCTGCTTTCTCTGACGAAAAATGCTGTGAAGGAAAAACTATGAGTCATTTTGGAAATCAGGTTGAAATGCAGATAAACGGTTTCTCTAAAGCTTCTTTGAGTGTTTTGAAAAGTGCTATGTAAGTACTATTATTATTATAATTATTTTGTTCTTTCTTGGCAGGAATGGCCATTCAGACCGTCGTGTTTTTCATCTGCTTCCTGTTTCTGGTGTTTCTCATCATCGTTCCCATTTTTTACGGCCGGAACCTCATCGTGTTTGAACTTGGAGGAAAGGCCTGGTGAGTCAGCGCTTCAGATTTTTTTATTTACTGATCAAAAGCAGACGTAGTAATATTTTTCTCCTCCATGTTTGTTCTGTCTCAGGCCGGCCTGGGTCACTCTGATCCTGGTCACGGCGCTGCAGCACGTCACCGCTAAGTTCGCCTTCATCAAGAAGGAAGCTGGAACAAGAGACCTGAACAACAGGTACGGCAGCTTATTTCACCTTATTTATAGGAAAATATGTAGTGCTGTATGTTGATTAGATAGTTACTGATTAGTGTAATAATCAGATTTTTATATTTGC